AGTATTGGTGTGCTTTTGGTAGGGCTAGCACTTGGAAAAATGTTTTAGGTTTTGATCCACGTCTTTTTGTTCTGATTTGGTTTGTGTGTATAGATGTTTTTTTTGGATCTGTCTAGCTGTCCTGTTCTCATTTTTTCTTTTGATATTTTACACCACTTTGGGCTAAAAATTTTCCACCTTTGTCCTTGAGTTATTTATTCTTTTTGGGATTGTGTTGCTCTGACTTGTGTTGGGTTCCATTTCTCCACTTGGGAAGCCTTTTGTTTAACTTTTGCACTAAAAGTTCTAGTTGTATGCAGGCCATGGTGGCACATGTCTGTAATCCCAACACTTGGGAGGCTGATGCAGGAGGAATACTGTGAGTTCTAGGCCAGCTTACACTACATAAGTGAGTTCAAGGCCAACCTTCACTACATAGCAAGACCTTGTGGGGATGTGACCACTTCCTCACTTTATATTTTTCTTTATTCTTTTTACTTTGGATTTTATTTGTTCACATAGCTTCTGTGCTTCTTGTAGTGATAGACTGGAAAGTTTGGGTTTTTTGTTTTGTTTTTTAATTTTTTTTTTTTTAAGATAAGTTCTTGCTATGTAGTCCAGGCTTGCTTTGAACTCATGGCAATCTTCCTGCCTCAGCACCCTCAGTGCTAAGATTACAGACATGTGCCACCATGCCATTGAAAGCATGCTTTTGGAGCTAATGGTCGGATGTATCTTTTGTGGCTATTCTGTATTGCTATCATAAGCTTTTGATATTACCTAAATTTGTTAGCATTTCCAGATGTTAATTTTTGGATAGTCCAGCTTCACAAGATAATAGTTGCTAGTAAGATGGAGTGTTTTCCAACATCTCTAGTTCTTCTGTGTCCACTTAATTTTGGCATAAGTCTATTACCTGATGCCAATATTTTTCTTTGTCTCCAGTCCTTGTTCTTCTGCTTGCCTCACTGGTAATTTTCCTAGGAACATGAATGTATATATTGCAGATCTTTCTATTATGGAACTATGTTGAAAACTGACCATAAGCAGCAGCTAATTAGAATAAGGAAAGCTTTGGACCAGAAATAGGATCATCATATTCTCCAGAGAATCTAACATTTTGAAAAGAAACAGATTGAAAGGGTTGAGGCGTGTTCCATCGTCTTTAGGTTCTTTCAGGTGCATGTTCTCCTTTTTGTTTACAATAGCCTAAGTTGTTTCTAATAACTGGAACCACTATAGTAAGGTAAATGTACAAGTGATCTATAGTTGAAGGGCCTCATCTTCTTATTCTCCTCTCCCACAAAAACAAACAGTCTTTAAACCTCTCATTCCTAGTCCTTGTCCTGTACCAGACCCTTAGCAGAATCTGCTCTGGTGTTTCTCAAACGCCCGCTGGTATAGGCAGTGCCTCTGTTCACTGCACTTGGTGTAGTCCTTCAGCTGTAGTCTGAGGAAGGCTTAGTTGAGCATGGAAAATAGTTTTGCATGATCTCCATCCCTGAATGCAGATGAGATTTCGTTCTGCTTCTGTGCTTAAGACATTGAACAGTTGTCTTTTGGCCTTGATTTTTGTCTTCTGTAAAATAAACAGGTTAGATCAGATCCATTTTAAAATCATTACCTGTTATTATATACTGTGTTAGTGAATAAACAGTGCAGTGTAACAACTGAGGCTTCACACCTCTTCAGAGGTATATTTCTTGAAATTCTGCCAAAGACGTTTGACTGTCTTTGTGAGCATTTATTTCCTGATTTCTTTGTAAGTTTCTAACCAGCTTTATTTCAGTTAGTGCTTATACAGATGAAATGTTTCCAGTTTTTATTTTTATTAGTATGTTTGCAGTGCACGGTTACATTCTTCATGGGGAATAACCCTGTGAGTTATGTACTATACAGTGTATATGATAATATGTACATAGCACATCTTAATTCTTCTTCTCGTTTGTCTCTACCTCCCTGCTATCTCTATCCCTTGGTCTTTCTGTTTTTTTTTTTTTTTTTTAACTTAATTTTGTTGGTATACTTGTTTTGTTTGTTTTGAGACAGAGTCTTACTATATACTTTAGGCTGTCCCTGAACTCAATATGTAGCCCAAACTGGCCTCAAATTTGCAGTGACCCTCCTGTCTCAGCCTCCCAAGTGCTGGGATCACAGGTGTGTGTATGCCGCCATGCCTGGCAGTACATTTTTGATATACATAATGACCACATTCAATGTAAGGAGTTTATACCTGTATATAACATATCTTATTATTTTTTTCCCTATTTTCCTCCTCTCTCTTCAACCCTTCTTCTCATTTACAAATGCCATGTTTCTATATCTTCCTCCATTTTGCAAAAGATCTATCTCTTTTTTCTGTTATCTGTTTTTTACTTTGCTCTTTGTATTTTGGGTAAAGACATCATGTTAGAGTGTATATGCATACCCATGTTTATGCAGAATTGATAATAGCTAAATTTTGGAAGCAGTTTGCATGTCCATCAGCAGATTAATGTATAAGGAAAATGTAGTACTTGTATGTGATGGAGTACTATTGTGCTACAAAGGATAAATTTGAGTGATTTGTGGGGAAATGGATGTATCTTGAGACCATACTATTAAATAGATAAAAAGGTTTTCTTCTTTCTTTCTTTCTTTCTTTCTTTTTTTTTTTTTGAGTCAGTCTCACTATGTAGTTCAGGCTGGCCTTGAACTCAGTGTGTTCTTCCTGTCTTAGCCTCCCAAGTGTCAGGTGAACTTTTTGAACTGTTCATCTGTTACTTTTATAGTCTGAGCCTTTCTAACTACTGAAACTTTGCTATGTTTTTTCCTCAGTAGTATAATACACATAATTTCCTGTAATATAATACACACATTTGTAAAGTGACAGCATGATGTAGAAAACACTGGTCATGAAATAAGACCTGTCCTGAAGTTCCTTGGTTACTGCTTTCAAGCATTAACCTGGTAACCATGTAATTTATTTAAGCCTCAGTTTTCCTATCTGTAGAGTGTGGATATAACTTTCCGTGTTTAACTCAAAGGTCTGTAAGAATTGTAAAATGAGGTAATATATATGAAACAGCTTAGGAAATGTGGTATTCTGTTGGTCCTCAGTTATCAAAACTATTTCTATAAATGTTGAGTAGTTGACATTCCATGACTACATGAGTTTGTTTAATACATTGGACAGTTTTGGATTATATGTTGTCCCCCACTGCATATTAGGGATTAATTTTAGGGCCTTCACACTGAACTATATCCACAGCCTGTTATTTATTTTTGAGACAAGGTCTTGCTAAGCAAGTTGCCCAAGCTGGGATCAAATTTGCAGGACTCCTGCCTCAGCCTCACAGAATGCTTTGGATTATAGGCATACACCACTGCATCTAACTAACATTGTTCTTTATGCCCCTTATTTTAATGCTTTTAACTAGCTGATCTTTGAAATTGTAACAGCCTCTGGGTTAGTGCTATTTAGTCCATTTAGGAACAGATGATAGACCTCTGGCAGCATAAGAAACCTGCATATAAATGTTTCTTTCTCTGGGATTCATTCTTCATCATTCCCTTTATAATTTTCAAACTAGCCTTTAAAGAAATATGGCAGGAACAGAGTGTAAGCCTCCTTGAAGTAGTTCTATCTTACTCATTTATTCAGAGGGTTTTGTTTTGTTTTTTTGTCTTTTGGAGACAGGGTTTTGCTGTGCAGTTCAGGCTAGCTTTGAACTCAGCCTCCTGAGTGCTGAGATTACAGGAGTGAGCCACTATACCTAACTTGAGATAGTTTTCTTTTTGGTATTGAACTCACTGTGTAACCCAGACTGACCTCAAACTCATGGTGATCCTCTTGCCTCAGCCTCTTGAGTGCTGGGATTCCTTGGGGTGGTTTCACCACTGAAGTTTTCTCATTGTCAGCCTAATGCTCATTTGAGCTGGGTAATACAAATGGCATAAAATCAGAGCTGGCTTTTCAAGGTACTGGTACCCTTCATTATATACAGATTATCAGTATAGCTGCTTGGAAGCTCCTGCAACAGTTTATGAGATGAACTCATACCGTTCGTTGCATGTCATATAAGCGACATGATTACTAGTTCAGAGTTTAGAAGTGAAGACAGTAGCAGAGGTAACTCGAGCTGCCTGTCTTCTTCATTTGAGTTGAAACTTAGTGTTGTATCCTGGAGGTTCTGAGTTCCACCATTTGACTGGAATGTGTGGAATTCAAGCTGTCAGTGTTTCTGGAACAGTTTTCATATTCTGCAGGGCAAGAATTTCCTTCTGGTAGGTTCTTTGAAGGACTCTAAACTGAGTACTTCATCTTTATTCCTTTCACTGAACCAAAACATGAGTCGTTTTTATTTTTGTTTTGTTTTTTCTTTTTTAAGAGACAGAATCTCCCTACATATTTCAGGCTGGCTTTGAACCCACAATAATCCTCTTGTCTCAGCCTAAGTGCTGGAACTACAGTCCTGTATCACTATACCTGACTTGAGCATTTCTGATGAATGAACTCAGTGTTTCTGTTGTGACTTTTCAGACAAGAGAAATTGATCCTTTGTGTATAGCCTAGTACTTACAAACTTGTGGAAGTCTAATCTGTGAAATGGTATCACTGTCTTTAAAGGTATTATTGCCCAAATATGGTACAAAACTTATTTTAGAAACAAAAATTTTACCTATTTTTCTTAGTTTTTCATTTTTTCAACTAACATTATTGGGTACCTTAATTTTCCTGTGTATTTTTATTTTGATCTGTTGCAAAGATCCCAGAGATTTAAATAAATCCAGAAAGCTGTTATTTGGTTGTAACTGATCTGGATACGATTCAAGAGTCCTGACAAGGTCCTGGTCAGTTGAGAGAGTGATGAACATAAAGGTGACAGGAAGACAGACGGACATAGACGAAAGAGAAGGGTATTGATTGTTTCATGAACTTGTGTAATAGGCTTATTAAAAATATTCTCAGTATAGTTGAAGTCTTCGGTTTTTCCTGTGATGGGATTAACCCAGCTTTTATTTTTCCTGTCAACTTGTAGGTGTGTTCATCCTCGAGGGGGTGTGATTCAGAGTGTTTCTTCGTGGAAGCATGGTTCCGGCACACAGTATGTTAGCAGCCGGCAAACTCAGTCATGGACTACTGTGACTCCCCAGCAGACGTGGGCTTCACCAGCAGAAGTTGTTGACCTCACCTTGGATGAGGATAGCAGACGTAAATACCTACTGTAATACCATGTCACTGTGTTTCCTCTGCACTGTTCCCTTCCACTTCCTCCTCCTCTTTGTGACGCGGAAGTTCATTGTCATAGCTTCAGCCTCAGAAGCTCTTTGTGGCATTTGTAGAGTTGAAACTCATGGAACCTCCCCCACTTTTTTTTAATTAAAAAGTCACTTAGGAAAATAACATCACAGAAAAAACAATTTCTTCTTTCAGTAGGAATATGAGAATGATGAATTTTACTTAGTGACATTTAGTCTTAGGAAAGCCACCTTTCTTTTAGAATACTATTTTAATTACCAAGTAAAGTGGATTTCAGTTTTTGAATCTTGTATTTATTTTTCTGTATAATGAAATTAATATCTAGACTTGACCACTGTTCGCCCACCTCATCGTCCTCCCATCTTGGGGCATTCGCACACATATCAGTCAGGTCCTTAGTGGCACCTGGTAGGGCATGTGCATTTAAAAACCTTCCTTCAAAAATAGAGGACAAAAATATTACAAGTGTTTTTTTTTCTTTTAGCTTGAATCTTCTGCCCTCCTTAACTTTGCTCCAGGTTGACTTCCACACTACAAATAATTGACATGCCCTTTATGTTTAAAAATAGTACTAAGTGACTTAACTTAGTCTCCTTGTTGCAATAATTTTTAACTCTTTGGAAAATGTTTTCTTTGGAGCAGAGGCATTTTGAATAGATATCTACCATGAAGTTTTCTGGGCATCTGAAATGAGTTTTGAAAGATAAGTGGAAAAATCTTTCTCTCAGCTTTTACCTTCGGAGAGCATAAAAACCACATACTTAGGAAGCATGTGAAAAGTCGCATGACTTTTAAGTATAAAGGCACTTGGAAATTGGAGAGGAAAGTGCCTTCTTCATAGCTGGTCTCACTGAAAAGGGAGTATAACAACTATTTAGCACCTCAGCTGAACTGGACTTGAGCTGTATTTGGATATTTTTCTCCTCTACCTTCTAAACTAAAATATTCCATAAGATGTCAGATGCAAAGCACATTAATGACACTGTAAGTCTTACAGTATCTAAAGGAATAGCAAAGGGTAGAAGAAACTTCAGGGAATTCAGGAATTGCCGGCATTGGACTTTTGTGGCATTAATTACTACCTTTTTTCCTGTAACATATAGTTACTCGTAAATTATTTTAAAAGCAATATCTAGAGATAGAACACTATGTATTGTATACAGGGAGGAGTGAAATAGTATTGGCTCAGAAGACTTCACCTTTTGTGGAATTTGTTTTGTGTGCTCTTTTATGTTTTGTGTGTTTTGTTTTCACTGTTACCAAACGATGTTGCTATGACCTTTCCCAAATGCCTCAGTGGCTCTTTCTGGTCCTAAAAGCATGAGAACTATCATTTTCAGTTTTGATTCAGTAAACACACATTTACGCAGTGCTTGCTCTGCATCAAGCACTCTGTAGGGTTGGTACTGCGGAGGCCTCCAAGCTGAATGAGACACAGCCTGCATGCGCATGCATCAGTCTGCCTGGCTCCACCTGCCTGGCCTTTTCTTCTTTTCGTGTATGTGTGTAAAAACAATTTTATTCCTTTACCCTACTTCTTGTTACTTTAGTCCTTCTCTATGCCCCTTCTTTTACAGGGATGTATTCGAGCATGTATTTTTTGATCTTCTCTGATAGCATCTCATTTGATCTGGCCTCTGTTCTTCACAGACTTTATTTTTTCCTCCAACCCATTTTTAATTGATCAGGTTAAAAGATCATGAACCTTCAGTTAGGTTAATAAAATCATGAACCTTCAGTTTTAGAACCTCGTGTATCACAGTCTCTCACATGGCCACAATCCTAGACAAAAACCAAAGACCCAGAGGCCAGAGCAAAACAGGACCTCCCGAAGATTCACTACTGGTGTATCCTTGGACCTTCACATTTTACTTTAGGATTAACTTATTGAATTTTACTGTTACACTTTTTTTTTTTTAACTTGAAGTAAAGTACTAGACAAAACAGAAATGTTTAATTTCTGGTCTGTTTTCGAGGAAAATCATTGGAAAGAGAGTAGCATGGAGTATATGACTTGAAGTTTTTACAACTTATCCCCTCCACCCCCCAGCATCAGGGCACAGTCTTGCTTTAAAGAATGTTTTTTATATTACCTATTTTAATGTTAATAATGTGTTTTGTCCAACTTCATACAGCAAGTGATTTCCTATGACATATTTTCTTTAGTCCCTAACAGGCATCCACTAAAGAGAGAACTTTTTTGGTTTGTTTTGTACACTGGGTGGGGGCAGAGTGGAGTTGCAACCAAACTCTTTTCTGGCCTTTTGCCTTTATATTAGGTTGCACTTTTTCTTCACTTGTTCCTTTTCTAACTCCCTGACCACCTGATTTGATGTACCAGAACAGAATTTTAGGCATTAAGATACAAAAAAGGAAGGGAAGAGAAGTTAGAGACACACAGCTCTCTCCCCTACTTACTAGGTTGTAATTTCTAACCTAAAAATTAGAGTATCTTTCAACTCTTCTTTCATTGCTGCATGCAGAAGAGTGGATATGGGGTTTCAGGCAAGGTATGAATGATACAATTTGTGATGTCATGCATTTGAAATTTCTTTTAAAGGGATTGTTCTCTTAACCAAATTTTCCCATTTGATAGCATAAATAGTTCTTCATGCCTCACAAGAGGTTGTTCAAAGTAACAACTCTGTTAAAGTGGAACAATTGGGTCACTGATTGCTTATAGCACAACTTGGTTATGTTTCCCTCCTCTGCAATTTGAGAAAATAGAGCAGCAACCTAGTTGTTGAATCATCACAACTGACTGCCCTGTAACTTATAATTGTGGCTCAGCAGTAATTTTTCATTTCATTTCATTTTTCATTTTGATGCATAGGGGCCAGACTGGGTAGATTCCATATTTACAATCAGGAATCCTATAAACTCTTTTGTTGTTAGTTGTGAACAAGAACTGATTTGCTACTTTAGTCATTAGTTCATATTACTTTTAACAGATTAACACCTAGGTAACTTAAAATAAATTTGTTGCCTGCTTTTTATTCTGTGTCATAAGGTTTTTGAGAAAACCTGAGACACAATTTTGTCTTATAGTTTTAACCATTTTTTTAAGGCAAAGAGCTGAGCCTCTAATCCTTGTTCTTCAATATGTGTATGATGTGACTTCCATGTATATATAAAAATGATTGCACCCTAACCAAACTTCCTCAGATTGTGCACTGTTTGTTTAAAATAATCACGTATTTTAGTCCAATACTGTTGTATTTTTTCATTTTATTTAAAACACTACTTATTCTTTTAACAAATTTTAAAGGGTAGTGATCTTTAAAAAAAAAATCACTGGATAACTAGGAACTTTTTGTTGTTGTTTTGTGTTTTAAAAGAGTAGAAAGGTCATTGAGCCTTTTGCTTCTCTTACCATGAACATGGAATGTCAGCCATTGTGTGGCTAGGAACCGATGCACTTGGCGGGTAACAGATCTGCTGTTGCTGGGGTGTAAGCGTGGACTTGATGCAGTGACGACAAATCATTGCGTAGAAGTAATGTTTCCAAATGTGCAACTCTAGTTTTTAAAATGAACTTTGGTTCTTTACATTCATTACTTAGTTTTTGTTTCCATTTAGTATTTAATGGTCTTTGGAGAAAAAAATAATAAAACAGAGTGTTATATATATATTTTTTGGTGCAAGATAAGATTTTCTGTTTTTTGAAATAAGTCTGTAGCATAAAGGTTAAACTATTTTAAGACAAAATAAAATAGAGTGTATTTAAACAATGATATTTTCTGAGAATTTTTTTTTTAACTGTCTGCTTCAGTTAATTAGGTGATGCCTGGAGCAGCTCCCAGGATACCTTTGGATGTAAAAGTGGATTATATTTTGTTAGTAGATTGTTACAAGGTACCTGACTTATTCCAAGTGATAGCTTAATCCTACTCCCAAGAGGTTTGGCCAAGTAGCCTGTGATATATCAGATCTAGATAAAAATAGTTCCGCCTTAGCTTTCCGGCAGCCCCTGCTTTCCTCTTTAGTTAGGGCTAGTGAGAGAGAGCTCAGACAGGGCTGAAGGCTTCCTAGTGTTTGGCCTCTCCGCTCTTGGGAACCAGTCTCATGAATAAGTCTTTCCCGAGATGGACACATCAGGGTTAAGATGCTGCAGCTGCATTGAAGCAAGAACGTATAGGGTGTTTTAAATGTAGCATCAGGAACTTGCTCCCTAGTTTGAATCTACTTTTAGATTTTAAAAATTTTGTTATCAAAATGATAGCAAACATCATATTAACATCTCGTGGCTTAACACTTCACAAGAAGGAGAATGAGTGAAATCTATCTCTGCTAAGATACCCAACTCTTGAATCTCTCAGTTTTCTTTGGGAATTTTAGTTCTGCTTGCACCAGAAAGAGATCTGTTAACAACTAGGAAACACATTCTTAACAAGTAGAAAATGTTTTTAGGTCTTAGGTTTTTGTTTTTGACAGTGCTGGGGATTAAACCCAGGGTCTTGTACATTCTTGACAAGTGCTGTACCATTAAGCTATATCCCAAGCCTCTGTTTTCTTTTTTCAAAAATACTTTATTACTAATTTATATTTGAGATCTAGACATTTTAATCCCTGTGTGAAGCTCCTTTGACCCTAATAGAAAATTACTTATTTAAAACTATTCTTTTGCATCTTTTTGCCCTTGGATGCTGCCTTTGTCAAGGCACAAGTCAAGATCCTTCAAGTTCCTGGTTACTCCTTTATCTTGTTTGGGCTTCTTCCATTTGCTGTCTTTCGGCCTTCCCTTCCCTTACAATTTTTCACAGTAGCTGCTAGCTGTTTATAACCTCAATCTCAGCAGAAAGGGTATAGATAAATCTTTACTAAATATATACATATGTTTTCAGCTTCAGTTTTGCAACCAAAGCAAGGTGATATCTTCTGTGGTTTATTTTAATCCTTACTGTTCTGTGAAGGCATAGTCCCCAGATCATTAGCAGGTATGATTTGTATTACTTCCTTAACTATGTTTAGAGCACTGATAACACAGCACAGAAAAATTTCTGGGCTATACTGGAGCTTATGCTCTGGGAACAAAAGAAGGCAGTAGGCAATAGGAGAAGAAACACTGGGCATGGTGGCACATGCCTGTGATCCAGCATTCAGGAGGATCAATGCAACTTCAAGGCCAGTGGGAGCTACAAAGTGAGTTCAAGTTAGCTGCATATGAAACCTGGTCTCAAAAATACCAAATGAAACAACACAAAACAAAAAACAAAGAAGGAGCAATGAGCTTGAGAAGGCTGCAAATGATGATAATACGTTTCAGAGATACAGAGTTTCCATTATTAAAGGATGTTTCAGTGTTACCTCTTGGCTCATTTCAGTCTGCCATTGGTCTGCTCTTCATGTGGCATGCCTTCGAGATAGACACGGCTTTAGGCAGGGATTCCTTGGTATGGTGAGGAGTCAGTGTTTCTTTCTGCCAAACCTTACCATGTAGTTTAGTATGGTGGATATGTAAAGGGTGGAAATGAGTGCTGGCAACAAAATGTAACTTCTTCAGGGAGGTGTGGCAGCAGCAATTGTCATTAAGTAGGATCTGCTTCTAGATCCTGGCCTGCTGGCAGGGAACACCCCTTGATTGTAAATTTTATCTATCTAACTTCCCACTGCTTGATGAAAGAAGTTATTGCCAGCTTTTCCTTTGTGCTTTGATAACTGACACCTCAGCGAAATCAGATCTGTTCTTTTTCTCTGACTGTTCCAGCTTGTGAGTGGGAAGGTAAACTGTTCTGGACTACTGAGCCAGCACCCTTTAGCTGACTTTGAAGCAGGTACGTGAGACTTGAGGGTGGATGTGAATACTGAAACAGAAGTGGCCAGGCCAGAGGCTGGGTGAGTGATCTATAAAAGGCCTGACCCAGGAAAGCCATGTATCTGCTAAAGAATTTGGTTTTTATACCTATAAATTGAAGACTGTCTTAGATTTTTTTCTAAGATTGAAAGGTTGAGCTGTTCTATTTTAAGGGATAATTCATTGCTCTGCAGAGCTATTGGGCTTTTCAGGCAGGAATTTGAGAGCTGCTTACTCCAGAAAAGCTGTTTAAAAGACTATCATTTGCTCCTTTCATGTGAACTTTTAGAAGGCATTGGATGACTGACACTCACACAACCTTGAATCTCTCTGAGCTCTTTATTTCAAAGATTTGGGTAGGGGGCGGAGTTGGATTTGAGACAGGGTCTTGCCATGTAGTCCAGGGTGGCCCTGAACTCACTATGAAGCTCAGGATAGCCTTGAACTTGTGATGATACTCCTGCCTCAGTTCACAAGTGTGGGGTTACAGATATGTGCTACCATTCCTGACTCAAACTTTTAAGAGAATGTTTGTTTCAAAATTAACATGTTGAAGCTCAGCAGTGTAAGTGCCTGCGGGGCAAGCGTAAGGTTGTGAGTTCCATTCCTGGTACCCAATCCCCCAACCCAATTCCATGTTAGGTAAGAAACAGTACAGATTATAATCCTAGTTGTGTAGATTGGAAACTGGAGAACAGAAAAGTAACAGTGTACCCAGACTTACATAGCTGGATTTCCCAGGAGCAGACTTTTTAAAAAAATGTTTCAGATGACGACTTTTTGACTTAAAAAAAAAAAGCAAATCTTATTTCTGTAGATCTTCACCTTTTTTTTTTCTTGCTGTTGACTTTACCTTATTCTTACCTGAAAAGAAGCAGAAATACTGCTGAGTATGTAATGTTTGGTGTAAACATATCATAGGTCAGAACCACACATCTGAGTGTATCCTAGCTCAGCCTCTGCAATGACCATGCACATTTTTTTTGTAGATACAGTCTCCATCTCATAGTTATGGAACACGAAAATAACAGATCCAATAAACGAGAAAAGATGTATAGGCTCATTACTAAGTTTGGAAATGCAAGCTTGCATTACAGTGTGGTATTTCACATAAGTAGCAGTACATTTAAATCCAATCAGAAGACAATAACTGCAGTTCGCTTTTCAGCATATGAGCATAATTTGCTTCAACAGTTGGACAACTAGAATTGTCTGGTAAAGCTGAACACATGGGTACACCATGAACAAGCAGTTCAAAGTCTTTGGGATAAAATCTTTCGGCAGTGTTTGCAATGCGGTTGCAACTGATGTAGGAACATCGGGGAATCATTTCCATGTCTGTAAGCTTGCTTTGATCTTTTTCTTTAAGGGACTAAGATAACACAATAATTTCAGACAGTATTGTTAAACAAACTTACATTTGCTATATATCAGTACACACCTACACCTGAAATGTGAAGTGTGCTAACTTATAAAAGTGCTAACTGTAAAAGAAAGAAGTACAAAGCCATGGTTTTAGAGAAACTAGTTTATGTGTTCAAAGTACTTTGATTTTTTTTTCCCCCAGCTTTTGGCTATTTCAGCGTGCATCTGTCATGGGCTAGGTAGAAAATGTATTTGCAGTGGTAAGCCACATGGAAATGAGTAAACTAGTTATACTTACATACTTGTATTGGTCATATCAACATGGATCAATCTCAACAGTGTAGATTTGAAAAGAAGCAAATTGCAGAATATGTACATGATATCATTTGGGAAAACTGAAAATACACTAGTACTATGTACTGAAAACTACATACACATGTAGTAAGAATATAATGAAATGCATGAGGATAATACATACCAAGTGGAGGATAATGGTTACTCCTGGCAAGGACACAAGGATTTCAGCTTTATGAGTAAAATTTCTTAGACTGGGTAATGGGAACATAGATGAAGTTACTTTTTCTATGTTTTCGTGTGTCTTAAATATTTTATAGTGTCAGATTTTCCCTCTACTTCATGTAGAAAGAATAAAAGCTCTTTTATAGCTTTCCTGGTAGGGTAGTGAAAATGTTAAGATTTCCTCAACACTTCTTCGAAATATCATTGAAAGCCTAACCAACAACCAGAAGGAAATTTGATAAGGTAGATTTTATAAAAATTAAAATCTTAGGGCCTGGTGTTTGGCTCAGCAGGACAAGTGCCTGCCTGGCAAGCATGAGGTTGTGAGTTTGATCCCTGGTACCAAATAAATAAATAAATAAATAAGATCTTTTCTGTTTCAGAGGACATCATCAAGAAATTTTAGAGATGTATACAACCCGCCCCCTGCTAAATTTGACTGGCTTTTAAAAAAAAAGAAAAATTTTAGAGCTGGTTCATCATATGCAAATTAATAAATATAATAGACCATATCAACAGAGTCAAGGACAAAAACCACGTTTCAAGTAGATACAGGAAGAAAAAAAAAATTTTGACAAAGTCCAACACCCATGCATTATAAAAACCCTGCAGAAAATTGGAATAGAAGTCCTTTATCAAAATCTGGTAAAAGCCATCTGTGACAAATCAACAGCCAACATCATTCTAAGTGCTCAAAAACTGAAAGCTTTCATTCTAAGATCAGGAATAAGAGATACTGATGCCCACTGTCACCACTCCTATTCATTACCGTTTGGGAAACAGCTAGGGCAATTAGACAAAGAAATGAAAGGAATGAGAATAGGAAAGGAAGAAGTTAAATTATTATTTGAGATGACATGATATTCTACGTAGAAGACCCCAAAAAATTCACCAAAAGAACCCTAGATTTAGTGACCAAATTCAGTAGTGTAGCTGGATACAAAGTCAACACTTACCAATAGCCTACCTCTACACAACAAACTCAAAGAGAAAGAAATTAGGGTAACAACACCTTTCACAATAGCATCAAGAAAAGTATATTTTACATTGAAAACCACAGTACTCTGAAAAAGGGTTGAAGAGAGGGTATCAGAAAATGGTAAGTTGCCCTTTTTCTTGGATAGGCAACACCAGCATAGTAAAAATGGCCATACATCCAAACTGTTATACAGGTTTAACATGTAAGACAGGGAAGAGAGATTTAGAAAACACAAAACTAAAACTAGAAATTCTATTTGACCTAACTGGTCTCCTTGCCGGAAGAGTTAAGACATCATATTACAGTGATACATGCATACCTATGTTTATAGCAGCACATTTTATAATAGCAAAATCTCGAAAGCAGCCTATATGTCCAACAGATGGGTAAAGAACATGTGGTAGTTATACACAATGCAGTACCACTCTGCCATAAAGATGGATAATTTGAGTTATTTGCAAGAAATGGGTACACTTGAGACAGTAATGTTAAATGAAATAAGGCATACAAGCTTAGATATCAAAACCCAAATTATAAATATAGAGCAAAATAAGAGATAATTGGAAGTAGGGAGATAGATCTTTCTCAAATGTGAAAGGGATCAAGGGATGGAGGACTGAGGGCAGGAGGAGTCAGAAAAAGGAATTAAGATTTGTTATGTACATATACCAATGAGTGTAAAGATTATTTACAGCAAACGTGTAAGAATAAAGAAGAAATACTACTCTAGCTCACTCCCTGACTTGGAGCAAGGGAGTGTTCTGCAGTACAAATCAGGCTACATTGAAATCTGCCCTGCTGTTTGGACCATTATGGCCTGCTATCCAGTGATGCTAGAGGTCTTCATGGTGGATAAGAATGCAATGTGGAGTCTGGATTTCCAAGGATTTTGGAGCAAGCTACCTTGTGCAGAGAACTATTCACCTTTTTAAAAGCAGCTCCCAGAAGGCTTTTGGACAGTAGAGACAGAACATCTGACCATGGAATATTAATTGACCAAGGCATTAAAGAAGCTTCTTGAGGACTAGACCAGTCATACATTTAGGCAGATGCAACAACAATCCATTCTAGAATGAATGAGGCATATCTGGGATTGGGAATGTGCAGGGCTACAGGGCCCAAATGAGAACAGATGAGCTGCACATCCCCCTTCCCTGGGCCTCCAAAGCATTACCTGTTGCATTGATGACTTGCCTTCAGATCACACCGAGAGTTTTTTTGTGACCAGCTGATAGAGGAAGAATGATTGTAGGCCTGGTTCAGTGTGTTGATGTTAATAAAAAATGGCCTGCTGTTTGCACTTAAAGCTCTCATTAAGTGTCCCGAAAGGCAGTCTTAAAAGGAAACTCTTCTAGTGGATAGAGCTTAGAGCCTATTCAGATATACCTATTCATCAACTTGGTGTAGGAGGGAAGGTGTAGAGCATATTTTATAAAGGTTTATATGTAGTCTTGGGCAGCAAATGGCATGATTGGTCGGTCTGGGGCCTGAAGGGAAAAAGGCTGATGAGGAGGTCTGGAGAAGAAGCATGTGGATAGTCCTACAGGAGCGGGCAGCATCCACCTAAGAAGAGATACTGAGCAACCAGCATGATTTACCCTGAGGAAGTTAGCTTTGTCCCCAACTGACTTCCCTGCCTTGCTGATGGATGAAGATTGGGCAAGGCAGGCCTCAATTCCTCAATCAGCCACTGGAGCCATACTGTATTGGCCCTTTCAATTTGGAAAAGGCAACCAGGACTAAGGGTCTGTTTTATGGCAAAGGTGATCCAACAGTGGGTTCTTAATCAGAGAATCCAGTGGTCTGATATCTATACATACTCCAAATGGGCAGAAGCAGTGGACTAATGAGTGATGAGATGGCTTATTGAAAACTGAGCTGAGGCACCAACTTGATGAGACCTTGGGTACTGAACTTGGGTACTGTCATCCAGATTACAACTGATATGTGGTACTGTGTCTCCAGTTGCCGGGATACTTATGTTTAGGAATGAAGGGTGGATGTAGTGGTGTTAGTCTCACTCCTTTACTGTCAGTGATCTGTTTGCATCAGGTTAAAAAAAAAAATGCCTGGAACTTGTGCCTGGTGGTGGTCCGGAATGGGCCCTTTCAGCAACCAAGTTGTGGCAAGGCAGGTCAACAGAAGGTGCAGACTTCAGGGGTGCAGGTCTGACTCAACCCATCAGGCAGAGCAACCTGGATCAGCTGAAGTGCCAGCTGAGAATGAGAAAAATCTAGAATAGCTGGTAAGGGAAGATAATGATCAGGTGTTTCAGCCTCCAGATGTGCTGCAGCAGTGAGCAGTGCTGTCATTTGTCCCACTATTCTGTATAAAGTGTTCCATTAGATTATGACTGTCTACAACCTTGATGGCTCAGTGACAGAATGAGCTTCATATGGGATATGAGTCAGGGTGGTGGAAGGAGAAGACCATCTGAGAAGCCCTACATTGTGTCCCCTTTGTCAACCCTACTTCAGCTGCAGTTATGGTTTACAGTTTTGTTTGCTCTTGGTCTTAAACTGACCTCACTCCCAGCCATGGGGAAATCATTCTGATTTCTATTTCAGAGCCTTCTCCAAAGCCACAGGAGTCTGTTTGGTCTGTGTGGCTCAAACATAGCCCTAAAGTTACGGAGAGTTAATGACCCTAGGACACCCTCAAGAGTAGAAGGCTAATAAATTTCCTATCAAATTCTCAGCCAGGTGACGAATATCTAGGACAGCTCTAGGAAGCATTCTGTCTGCTGCTTAGAATATCCTGGAGGAATTGAGCCTCCATTGCTCATGGCAGCGACTTTGATGATAGGCCTTATAGACTTTTCCTCTTTCATTTTGTTACTCTTAATCCCTCACTCTGTTTCCTGAGACTCCTTCCAGTTAAACCACATAAGTGCTTTTCTCAGGCTCTGAATCAAAGAACTCAAACATGGGCAGGGAGGGACAGACAGAGTTCACTGTGAGCTGAAGAGAGTTATTCAGTAGAAATGGGCATCAGACAGTGGCTGCCTGCCTGGTGTAGAATTATGTATTAGCATATGGAACAGATAAAACCACAGGCCTAAGGAAAACTGTTAAGAGGCCAGTGGAAGATAAATTACTCCTTTCAAAGTGGTTCAAAACCAAGGACCAGTTTATTACCCAGGGATCATTTGATAATGCCTGACTGCAATTCTGGTTGTCACAGAGCTTTGCTAATACAGTTTCATCAGCATTGGGGTGCTGTAGCTAGATTGGAGTGGAGAAAATAAGCTGGAAGGTAGTTAATGAAGATGAGGGTAGACTTTCCAGGAACTCATAGGTGAAGGAAAGGAATTGGCTAGAAGGAGGCACAAGATCAAGGAAGAGTTTGAAAACATTAGAAACCTTGTACAGTAGTGCACATCTATAATTCCAACTACTTGGGAGGCTGAGACAGGAGGATCACAAATTCAAAGCCAACCTGGACAACTTAGACAAAAAAAAAAAAAAATACAGTTCAGTTGTAGAGCATTCTTGGGCTTGCTTAATCATTCATAGCTATCTATATATATGAGTGTATACGTATATTGTATATGCTGTGATATGACTGTGCCGGTAATAAAGGATGAGAATGATTGATGGAGAGTGACCCTAAGACATACATGGTACCAGGAAACACAGCGCAGATTACCTGGCTTGGCCCAGGAAGGGAAAACTTCCTCTGAGGCCAGAAGGAGGCAAGTGGATATGGTTACATCTACCGTTGTGGAGAGGGTGTATAGATTATTGGAGGGCATTAACTGCAGGCCTTTTTTGTCCTTTGCATGTCCAGGAGCCAAGCAGTCTCTCAGTCGCGGGGGGAAGTAGTAGGATAGGCGGCCTATTAATTGCATGTTGATTGTTAACTTCCCATTGTTTATTGTACCGAGATTCTTCCAAAAGGGTCTCTTTGAGGAGTTTGGCTTTTGTCTTGCCTGCAGTGTTCCAGAAACAAGCACAGAGCTATTGTGGAAACTCATGTTTCCCAAGTTCTCTTCAAGATGTTTATTGACTTGGGGTTTAGGTGCTTGGGGTCACTTCTGCCTCCTGATTCCTGTGTTGCCATGTTCTGTCCCTGTTCTGCCATGGACTTGAAACTGGGACTCAACACCCTCTTGTTCTGCAGAACCACCTCTGCCTGCCTTCTGGTCCTCCAAACCTAGGTTCTGGTAATGCCTATCCTGTCCTTTTGTGAGCACCTTGCTCATCCTCATCCTTACTCACTTCTTCATCTATATTTCCTGTGTTGCCTGATCTCCAAATAATTCTCCCTGTGTTTACTCAGCCCTCCTGAATGCTTGACAGGCTTAGCTCAAACCATGGTGCATAACATAGACATGATAGCCTTTTCTTAGCCTCATCCTCCAATAGAAGGCAGTAACAGATAAACACATGAAAGATGTGCTCTCTGTGAGATCGCAATTCATGTTGGGTCTGAGGACCTCTCTGAGCACTCAACTGCTTTAAACTGGGAAGGCTCTACTCCGTGAAGACCTCTGTCTCCTCTGCCCCAGAGTGTTGGGAGAGGCCCAAAGGTGGAGCAAAGCTGGGAGAAGGGTTCTATCATGCCCTGCTTCCTAACTCTGTTGCCAGGGGAGCTGGCCTGGAAGTCAGAAGCCTTCCAGAATCTATAACGTGGGAATAGGGAGGTAGGAGCAAAGATTTAGTGAAATGGAATATATGCTACACCCTCTTTCTTTGCTTTGAAAAAGCAAACTTGAAAAAGACACTGGCCTTTACTTTTCTTGCCTGGGTGTTCAGAATCATTAATTTATTACATTCTCAAATATTGAATGTTGTAATCCAAGATTGTAATTGTTGTACCCTAAGAAAATAGCTTTGTTATATGTGTATTATAGCAAACCTGTATAGGGGCTTACTAAATGTGTTTGTTTTATCCTTTTTCCCTAACTGATACGTTAAGGGACCTAATTGATCTGTTGAGCAACACTCTCCTCTGTAAAGAATTGCAAAAATCTCACCTAATTGATATGTTAACCATTGTTGCTCTCTACAAACTACAGAAGCTGTGCTAAAACAAGCTAACAAGGGTTGTTAATCACTGCTAGGAGCCTTTATTCTCCTCTAAAGAGCTAAGGAAAACTAGAATGGCAATTAATTTACATTTGTTTAAAGTAACCTGCTTGTGTGCAGAGAGATTTGCGTGTGAGTTTAACCCTTTACCCTGATCTTGACACATTACCGCCGTTTTCTGTTCTGTATGGCGCCTTATTGCCTCCCTCTCCCCTCACCTATCTATCTAGGCCATAAAGAATTTGGGTTTCTGGTGACCTCCCCCCGACCCGGTGATGATCTGTTGTAAAATGAGCCTGCCCCAATTTTAAGAACTGCTTAGCTTAAACAAATTACCGGGTAATACTATGGCCCAAATCCCAATCGGTGCTTTCCTTTTGTTCTGTATGTATCAAATGAGTTAGATATCAGGTCTTCGTAAAACTTAAGTTCCAGCGTCTCATAACTTGTGACCCCTTCGCACTCACTAGCGAAGACAAGCTGTCCTGAGATAATTAACTGTCCACTTTCTTCTCCAAATATTGCTGCAGACGTGCCACTCTGAGATAATGTCAGTCTGCAGGATGGAAATAATTTTTAAAAAACACCAGAAACTCCCTAGATTGTCAGAGCTAAGTGGACAGCAATACAGTTTCCAGACTCGGGTCAACAAGTTTGATGGCTCTACAGGTTTCTTTGTTTCTCTCCCCCCGCCCTTTCCTCCAGCCCCTTTTTAAAGTCCTCCCTTCAGCTTCTAGGGGACAGTCTCCAAATTGGCTCCCGGAGACTGGTCGCCAGGCCTGGAAATAAAGCCTTTGCCACTAAATTTTCAGTCTCTTGCCTCCTTGGATTTTATACCGGGGCTCAAGTTATAACATTTGGGGGCTCGCCCTGGATGGAAGCAAGACCCCAGACTCATTTCTGAACATTTGAAAGTAAGTGCTCTGGAGGATTTGTTTGGGCCGCGGTCAATTTGTAATTTTGAGGGGATGCCCTCAATTTGGGAGCGGGAACCACCCGAGGACAGAGTCAGTTGGTTTGTAGGACAAATTCTGTCCATTTGTGACTCTGCCCTGGGTGGGGAACAGCTCCGTTTGGAAGGGGACGCCCTTAATTTGGGAAGTGAAACCTCCTGAGGACAGAGTCAATTGGTTTTTGCCATTTGTGACTCTGCACCGGGTGAGGAACCACTCTGTTGGTTAATTTGTTAATTCCTCCAGATCCCAAAATTTGACTAATTTTTGGGCAAAGGCCATTTTTGCTGCAGCTTGTCTCGTCTTGTATGTCTGTTTGTTTGTCCATTTGTTCTAAATGTTCTCCTTTTGGTTACCCTAAATCTAACAGAACATTCTCTCCTAGGAACCCCTTCTACGAGCCCAGAATGGACAAAGGGATTTAGATATTGATGTGCAGTGTTTTTGTTCTTTAAAATTGTTTGCCTGTTTGGATTTGTTACTAACTTAGGGGCTTGTTGCCCATTTCTGTTGCAGGATCCATATGGCTTATTAGATTCAAGCTTCATAATAAGAAAAATTATTTCCTTTAGCTCACCAAACTGTGCAAAAAGCACCCTTTGTTTGTGTCTTTAATGTTGTGGCGCCTTGTTTAATATGTAAGTCTTCAACTGATTGCTTGCAACCTTGGCATGCCTTTTAAAAGGAGTATTTTTCTTTCTGGTTAAAAAGTAAATATATGTGCACATATATGTGTATATTTATGGTTTTTAAGAATCATATCAACTTTACCAAGTAAAAACCAGGTCATACTGTAATTGAGCCAGTTAAAAGGTTATAGCTTTAAAAAACCCAGCATTTTAATGTGGTAAAAAGACATAAAATTAATTAAATATGTTTTAGACTACTAGAAGGTAACTTCAAGGGTTTTGTTGAGAGTTTTAATGTTGTCTGAGAAGCAAAAAAAAAAGATAATTGACTGGTGATAGTAAAAAGGAGGGACAAAGAAAGTGGTTTGTCTTCAAGTAAAATGTCTGCTGTGCCAAAATGTAAAAAAAAGATAAAACTTAGAGGTATATTATAAGTTATAAAAAGCTCGAGATGATATAAATTTTGTCTTGGTTTATAGTACTGAAGACAACAGGTTTGACAAGAAGTAAATGTGTTCAAAGTTTGACAGTATTGGATCAGTTTTGATAGATTTATTTATAAGATTCTAAACCTTTGCTGCAAAGTGTTTCCATTAATATGAGATTATAGATGATAATAGAGATAAGATATAAGTTTTCACATGTGCTGTGGACCTCTGGGAGATTATATGGCACAATTTTGTTACCTATGAAAAAGCTTCTTTTTGTTAAGTATGTAATTTCAGTAAAATGATGGCCTGCCAGGTGGCACCCTGGGACAAAAGGTGGTGTGCCATCCAGATAAAGCCTGCTCTCTGATATGGAATGCCAAAACCATGTTGTCCTTTTGTCCCAAGCCGATTGAACATCCAGAGGTAAGGAGGTTTCCCTAGTATCGCCAGTTGGTCTCTTTGCAACTCAGTCGGCCCCACATGTTAGAAAAAAGATTACAAAGGTTTGAGAGTTTAAAAAAAAATGCCCCTCAGCCAGTTGATAGAGATAGCACAAAAGGTCTTTTAAAACTAAAAAAATTACCGTCTACTGGGAAATTTGTCCAGCGTACCTGAGTCCTCACAACTGACTTAGAGTTAAAACTGTTGGGCAAATGGAATCAGGAGATTCCAGAAGTCTGGGCAGAAGACAATCCTCCAGGGCTAGCAGTCAGCCAAGTCCCCCTTCTGATGGAGCTCTTACCCCAAGCATGCCCCTTCTGCTTGTGACAATGCCCGATAAGCCTGCAGGCCCGGAAAGGGATTTAAAGTCCACATGCAGAGGCTAAGAGACAATGATATTCTCATTCCTTGTGTCTCTCCCTGGAACATGCCCTTGCTTCTAGTCACTGAAGCCAGGGACAAATAACTATCGCTCTGTACAGGATCTCGGAGAGTTAATACATGAGTTCTGAGTCTATACCCAACAGTGCCAAATCCTGAGAACACCTGGTACTCTGTTCTGAACCTGAAAGATGCTTTCTTCACTTTGCCACTTACTCTGGTGAGTCAACTCCTTTTTGCCTTTGAATGGACTGACCCAGATACGGGGGTAAAAAAAAACAGCTGACCCGGACACATTTACCTCAGGGTTATAAGAACTCTCCCACTCTTTTTGATGAGACATTAACAAGAGATCTTTTAAAATTAAAAAAAAAAAAAACACCCTGAGATAGTGCTCCTCCAGCACATGGATGACTTGTTAATAGCCTCGACCCCCACGGAAGCTTGTAAGCTTGTCAAGAGACAACTGAAAAACTGTTAAGGACTTTGGGGCAATTAGGCTATAAAGTCTCGACTAAAAGGGCACAATTGTGCTGTCAGGCTGTGACTCATCTGGACTACAAATTGCAAAAAAAAAAAAAAAAGGAGGAGGATTTTGTCTAAAAAAGTGTCCAGGCTATATTGCAGATCCCATTCCCAGAAACTAAGAAACAGGTGCGCGAATTTCTGGGAGCTGTCGGATACTCCAGGCTGTAGATTCTAAATTTTACTGAAACAGCTCACCCCCTGTAGGGCTCCCTTAAGGAAAAAACTCACTAAACTGGACTGATAAATGTAAACTGGACCTTGCGGCAGCTCAAGTGGGCCTTGACAGAGGCCCCAGCCCTGGGACTCCCTGATGTTACCAAGCCATTCACCTTGTTTGTAGATGAACTCAGGGGCATTGCCAAAGGAGTCCTAACCCAAGACATTGGCTCTTGAAAGAGGCCTATAGCCTATCTTTCCAAAAGGCTCAATCCAGTAACAAGAGGGTGGCCTCCATGCCTAAAATTCTGGCCGCTGTGGCAATGCTACTTAAAAGAGGCCCCCCCCCAAAAAAAAACCTCACTTTTGGACAGAAGATTTCTGTAGTGACCTCCCACAGTTTAGAGACTCTTATCAAAACCCCTCCTGAAAATGTGAGTGCTAAAATCTCACACTATTAGGCCCTGCTCCTAGACCCAGAATTGATAGTTTTCAAGACTTCTTCAGTTTTAAACCCAGCCACCCTTATGCCTGACAACGACCTGAGAAATTTCACAGATGGAAGCAGCTTCATCCAGAACGGCAGAGGCAGATGAGTGGCCGGGGCAGCAGTGACCATCAAAAGGAGGTACTCTGGGTTAAGCGGTTAGAGCCTGGCATCTCTGTCCAAAAGGTGGAGCTCATTGCTTTGACTGAGGTACTAAAACTAGCCACAAAAAAGAGGGTAAACATCTATACAGATAGTAGATATGCTTTTGCTACTATACATGTACATGGAGCCATCTATTAAGAGCGAGGTCTCTTAACCTCGGCCAGGGCAAAGATTTAAAAAAAGGGGGGGGTGGCTCCACAGATCCTAGATTTGCTGGCAACAGTCTGGCTGTCGGCAGATTGCTGCTATTCACCTGAGGAAACAATTTGGCAGATCAGGCCTCTCAAAGAGTAGCAATCACATCAGAGGGGCCAGCCGAGAAAGTAACTGCTCTGATGCGAGTCCCCCCGACCTTGTCAAAACCAGTCTACACAAAGAAAGACTGCACTGGTTGTTGTGAGCCATCTAACAGATTCCAGTCCCTGTGACTAAAAGACAAGTGCAAAATTTCTAGGAGCCACAGGACTGATCCAGAGTTTGGGACCCTGGCAGAGGTCTGTTGTCTACCTTTCCAAGACACTTGATTCTGTAACAACCAGATGACCACCCTGTCTGTGGTGATTTCCTCAGTAGCCCCCTCATAAAGGAAGCTTAAAAATTGACTTTTACACACAAACTCTTGTTTCTTCCTGTTCCCTGGAGACTCTCATCAAGGCCCCATCAGACTGCGGATGTCTAATTCCTGAGCCATACATTATCAGGCACTATTTCTGGAAACAGCGGCTTCAAACTCTGGCTACTTTGCTGCCTAAGGATGACCCCTCGTTGCCTCACTACAATTGTACTGAGGTCATTGATCACCTCACAGGACTTCGACCTTATCTAGTGGATAAGCCATTATCTAGAGTTCCATCCTACTTCTCTGATGGAAGCAGCTACGTCTATCAAGGTAAGCGGGTCTTGGGAGCTGCCGTTACACAAAATCTCAGGTTCTATGGGAACAAATCTTAGAGCCAGAGACATCAGCATAGTGGGCTAAACCCATTGCCCACACTGAGGCCTCAAGTTGTCTTTATCAAAAATGAAGTTTATTGTCTTCTGGAGTCAAAAGATTAAATTGCTCCCCAAATTTGGACTTGTTGGCTGCCATCTAGATGCCAAGGAGAGTGGCTACTATCTGCTGTATAAGCCATTGGGCAGAAGATGATCTTGTTATAAGAAAAAATAATTTGGCAAATGCCACCTTCCAAAAGATAGCCAGAAAGCCCCAAAATCAGTGGGGATTGAGATAAGCTTGACATTACTGCTGATCCCACCTATTTTCTTTGTCAGAGCCCATTTACACTTAAAAAGACCAGCATCTGGCAGCTCAACTTCCGAGAGATTCCCGGGGGCTAATATCAAGCTAGCCCAGTCTGTGAGCTTCAGATGCCCTCAGTGCCAATTGGTAAATCTAAAAGTACTGCAACAAATAGAAACCACTGGTTATCGTGAGACTATGCCTAAAAACACTAAAAAAATAGATTTTACAAAAATAAAAAGCCTAAAACTTCAAGGATATAAATGTTATAATGGTTGATACTTTCATTAGATGAGTAAAAGCGTTTTCTACTTAGTCTGAGTCAGCTCTGATAGCAGTTTCCCTGATTTGGTCTCCCTTTTTATCCATGGGGTCCGACAATGGCCTGGCTTTTATAGCCTAATAACTCAAATTAACCTAAGCTTTGCAGATCAATTAAAAACTCGATTGGGCTTACCAGCCTCAGAGTTCAGGAAAGGTAAAAAGATAAGTTAGATTTTAAAGACTATAATTACTAATGGCCTTAAAAACTGGCGAAAAATGGGTAAGTCTCTTTTCCTTCTGCCCCTTTGTGTGCGTGATGCATCCCCTATGTTGCAGATATTTCCTCTTTTGAGGTTTTATATAAGAGATCTTCCTCTTATCATTAAAGGTTTCTAAAAATTAGCTGATTTAACTAATAAAGATCTTATTAAGTCTCCCCCAGACTTTTCAGCCAGCTCTGACTTCCATCCACTGGTTATTTCGCTGCTGCCCACTGCGAGCTAAAGAGCCTAGGCACCTAGACAAGCGACCTCACCATAAATCACTTGAGCTGCAATAGACTGTCAAAGTAGCTGAAAGCCTGCCTGGATTCAACGTTCCCACTGCAGACAGGTCCCAGCTTCAAAAGACCATTAGCCTGTGGATAAATAAACTGTCATTTCTTCCAAGGACACTTTAAAGCTTAAGATTGTCTAATATAACTGATAATTTTGTGTTCTCCTCTTTTATAGAGACCCCTAAGAGGCCTCTGTCTGACTTAAAAATTGTTACTTATATGATAAAACAGAGTAAATTTAAATGTTGGTTTTCTTTCTCCTTTTGGTTAACAGCTTTAATGACAGCTACAAGACCTTTGTTAATCCTCCTACTGGGCCTTGTGTTGTAAACAAGTTGATAAACTATGTCAAAGTTCTTAAAAGCTTATAATTATAAAGACACATACAAGGTTATAAACAGATGGTAAGGAGTCAATGATTTGACACACTGACTAAAATCAGTGGGGAATGTTGTACCCTAAGAAAATAGCTTTGTTATATGTGTATTATAGCAAACCTGTATAGGGGCTTACTAAATGTGTTTGTTTTATCCTTTTTCCCTAACTGATATGTTAAGGGACCTAATTGATCTGTTGAGCAACACTCTCCTCTGTAAAGAATTGCAAAAATCTCACCTAATTGATATGTTAACCATTGTTGCTCTCTACAAACTACAGAAGCTGTGCTAAAACAAGCTAACAAGGGTTGTTAATCACTGCTAGGAGCCTTTATTCTCCTCTAAAGAGCTAAGGAAAACTAGAATGGCAATTAATTTACATTTGTTTAAAGTAACCTGCTTGTGTGCAGAGAGATTTGCGTGTGAGTTTAACCCTTTACCCTGATCTTGACACATTACCGCCGTTTTCTGTTCTGTATGGCGCCTTATTGCCTCCCTCTCCCCTCACCTATCTATCTAGGCCATAAAGAATTTGGGTTTCTGGTGACCTCCCCCCGACCCGGTGATGATCTGTTGTAAAATGAGCCTGCCCCAATTTTAAGAACTGCTTAGCTTAAACAAATTACCGGGTAATACTATGGCCCAAATCCCAATCGGTGCTTTCCTTTTGTTCTGTATGTATCAAATGAGTTAGATATCAGGTCTTCGTAAAACTTAAGTTCCAGCGTCTCATAACTTGTGACCCCTTCGCACTCACTAGCGAAGACAAGCTGTCCTGAGATAATTAACTGTCCACTTTCTTCTCCAAATATTGCTGCAGACGTGCCACTCTGAGATAATGTCAGTCTGCAGGATGAAAATAATTTTTAAAAAACACCAGAAACTCCCTAGATTGTCAGAGCTAAGTGGACAGCAATACAGTTTCCAGACTCGGGTCAACAAGTTTGATGGCTCTACAGGTTTCTTTGTTTCTCTCCCCCCGCCCTTTCCTCCAGCCCCTTTTTAAAGTCCTCCCTTCAGCTTCTAGGGGACAGTCTCCAAATTGGCTCCCGGAGACTGGTCGCCAGGCCTGGAAATAAAGCCTTTGCCACTAAATTTTCAGTCTCTTGCCTCCTTAGATTTTATACCGGGGCTCAAGTTATAACAGTAATCCCTTTTCTAATCTTCCTCACAGTTCAGAAAAGCATATTTTTAATCCCATTGAAACGATACTAGAATCCCAGCAAGTTAATTCCACCTCCTATGCAATCCACAGCAAGAGAAAGACATCAAGACATATTCAAGGGTAAAGGCAGCCAAGGGGTCCTAAGTCCAGTCCAAGTGAGGACGTGTGGACAAATGCCTTGATCCAAGGCCTCTCCCAGAATTTGCTTGTGAAGAAGGGAGTGGTTAAAGGATGAGTGGCAGTGAGGATGCCGGGAACTACATGAGTAACTTGAACTGGCTAGCCAGCTAGGCAGAAAAGCATCTTTACAAAACGCAAGGAGAATGATACCACAGAAGAATCAGTCTGTGTAATTCAATTAAGGTAGCTTTTGAATTGTATTAGTTTGCTTCAGTTTCTGACATGTGCCCTGGGGAGTCATAACCTCTTACTTTGAGGCTCGTACCCAGCTGACATTCTTGGAGCTGACTGGCTCTGGCATCCCATTGTACGTCAGTCCTTTACAGAGAGCATTGTGGGAGGAAACAGGAAACTCAGTTGGCCTAAAAGATTACGTATCAGTACTTCAGCTGACCTTATTTGCATCACTTAAAGCCAATTGAAGGGAGAAGGCGAGAGCATAGCCTGCTCTGTACATAACAGCATATGGAAATAAGATTCAATTTAATGTTGCAGCAATTGTTCTGTGGTCAACATGAGTCACTCAAATTGTCTTCTACATCATTTTTAAAATAAGCTTATCAGTACGATTTAGATACCATGGTCACATTCATCGTAGGGAACTTGTAGAATCACTGATTTAAATGACTCTCCGAGACTAGCTCAGCTGTCTTCTTCAGTTTCTTGGGGGAGAGGGGTAAGGGACTGTAGACCACAGTGGAGACACAAGAATTGGGGTGCTGCACTCCCAACTCAGCTTCACCGTACCCTGGGAAAGTCGTTCGTAATTCTGACAGTGGGACTGATGACCATGACCAGGGAAATATTTAGTTTGGAAAGCAAAATAAAGCAACTTTGTTTTTAAAGTTTGTTATATTTGTTACTCATGCCTTAAGGAGATTGGTCCTTCAGAGAGCCCCGCCTGGGGCTCCGGGTGCTGTTGCAATGCCAGAAGATATCAGCAGAGGGCGACATCGCCCTTCTAACTCCAGCCGGCTGAGTAATCTGGCCTTGAGTGATGGCTAGGTGAAGGCTTTTTCTCTAAGGTAATGTTTTGCAAACTTTTTTGAGCATGACACGCAATGAGACTTACGTTTTACATCGTGATGTGATATGTTTTCTGTGTGAGCTGCTGAAAGATGTTTATCCTTTCTGTACAGGTGCGCTCCAATTTGCAGTTTCAGGTCTTTCTGAGATTTGGTTATTCAAAAAATCTTGCTCACACCACTTGGCTGATCTGACAGCTCACCAGTGGATGCAGACCTGTACTCTGAAACCCAGTGGAGTCTAGGCTGGAGCTTTGGGGTCGCTTGGAACAGGGCTGCCATTACAGTGCTTAAGAGTAAAATTCATTGTGCCTTCCTTCTGGGCGAGTTACTGTACTCCACCCTCCTGTACCTTGTGAGATGGAATGATGGCACTGCTTCAGGGCACTTGTAGGATTCCAGGACTGTGTGTGAGGCTTTGAGAATGGTGTACTGCCCACCCCCAGGCCCTCAGTTAGGGTGCTGATCACATGACTGCTCCTTTCCCACTGAGAAACAACTATAGCTGCGCAAAGCCTGCCAGGGTATCTCTGGGATTCATCGATTTGACCTGTGTTGATACCTGCTACCAATGGTAACTAAGCAGAAAGCTCTGGGCCAGGCCAGTGTTGGAGAAGCACAGGGTCAATTACCGAAGATGTGATGAGACCCAGCACCGGGTGCAGTGCCTAGAGGACAATTTAGCTTTGCGCCTCTCAGAGTGTGGTTCCTGGATCTGAAGCAGCATCCTCACCCAAGATCTTGTTAAAAAAGCACATTGTAGGGCCTTCTTCACCCAGGTATACAGAATCAGAAATTTGGGGGGGCCAACAATCTATTTTCATAGTCTTCCAGGCGATTCTGGTGGATGGTCCCCTCTGAGCAGACTTTGGGCCTTGTCATCTGTCATCCGGGCGTATGTTGTCCAGGTGTACTTGCTACCACTTTAATCACAGTGTCCAAGAGTAGGAGCAGGTATCAGTATTTATGTTTTATTTTGTAGTGCTGGGGGTCAAGCCCAAGACCTCCTGTTTGCTAGGTAAACACTCTGCCCCTGAGCCGCACCCCCTAGCCCTGAGCATCCATAGTTTTAAAAAGATTCTCAGGTGACGCCAGTGTGCAGTAAAGAAGGGGAGCCACTGCCCTTACTCTCCCTGTGTGAGCATCGGAGCAAGCTTCATTAAGGTGTGTCATGTAAGCAGAAACCGTAAACAGTAGAGGCTTGAGTGAACATGGATTGGAGGGGGCCTCTGCTGGTACCCCAGAAAGTTGTGAAGAAGCTGTCACCTAGTGTTTACTAGCAAGCTATGCTATGCAAACAGACTGCCAGGATATGAATCCTGCTCTGTCCCTCCTAGCTTGTGACACTAGCAAGTCTTAGCATTCTGTTCCTCATCTATGTGGAGTTCACAAGTATTTGAGTAGCTTAGTGAGGCTAAGATGAGTCTCTGAAGAAATGAAGGGACAAGTCCACAGAGGGCTCTGGACCTGAAGGCATTAGAAAGCCACCAGAGACTGGCAGGCATAGGGGGGCCTGGGTGTGGGTGTGTGAGAGAATGTTCCAGACAGCGACAGGCAGAGGAGAAGGGTTGGGCAGGCTGGAGACAGGCGAGGTGTGACGACTCGCAAGTGGGGAGAGGTGACCGAAGGGCTGCTATGATGCCGTGTACTGGGACTTTGAGATGGCATTGGGGGAGTAGGAATAGGAGAGAGAGGAAGCACCCTCATTTCTGGGCTAGAGAGATGGGATGGCTGTGCTGAGTTTGGGAGCCCAGCGCTAGCCTCAGTGCCATGCTCTGTTCTGGCCCCAAGGCTGGGCCCTAGGCACAAGAGGGTGACCCCTGACACCACCTTCAGTTTCCTGGGGGCCACTGGAACTTTTTGGAGTCCTCTGCATGGTTTGAACAAAGACAGTGAAGGTCCATCCAGGCAGGGTTACTTCTTGTCACTTGAGTATGTGGTACCCATTCCCAGCCCTGTGCCTTTGCCTGTACCCCCACTTTCTTCTCTAGCAGAATCCTGCTGCAGTTATCCCCTTTTCTTACACAGTCTTCACCTCACTGAAGCCCTTCTGGCCAGTGGCTGTCCTGGGAGCACATTATAGTCTTAGAGGTACCACTCAATCGCGTGAGTCCTCATTCCCGTGGCCACTGAAATGAAGCTCCTGGAAGCTGAGAAAGGTCCCCAGGTCAGTGCCCTCCCTACGTGGCTTAGCATTTTGTCAAGAAGATATGAAGTGAGGCTTCCTAAGTGGGCTGGGAGGAAAACAATTCAATTACAAGCCAGGAAGGCCTTGGTGAGAATTAGATTATCAGCATTGTCAGCTGCGGCCTCAGCCTCTGGGGCTCAATGGCAGAGAACAGGAGCTGAGAAGTTCTCTGCAGTGTCATCCTCCCAGACTCTGGGTGAGTACATCCCTGGGGTTCTGGTTTCTGCACTGGGTCTTTCTCCCATCCTGCAGCGAGGGTGGGGACAGCTGGGCTGAGCCCCCTGTGAGTTCCTGCCCACCTCTCCAGTTGCCTTCTTGCCTTGCCTGAACCAGAGGTGAAGGATGCTGCTGATACCCTGTGAGAAGCCCAACCAATGCCAGTGCTCAAGAAAAAGCCAAGAACCCACTTACTGTGTACCTGTGGCCCTGATGAGTGCTGCACAGCAGATGCCAGAAAGAGACAGAACCCCTAGCCAGGTGTGGTGGTGCATGCCTGTAATCCTAGCTGCTTGGCAGGCTGAGGCAGGAGGATCCCAAGTTCAAGCCCTACCTGGGCAATTTAGTGAGATCCTATCTCAAAATATATATATGAAAGGGCAGGCACAGGGACTGCAAGGATTGAGTGGCCCCGGATTCATTCCCCAGTAACATACACATACTTGCATGCATGTGATCACAAACCCACCTACCCTGCCCCGCCCCCCAAAAAGCAAGAGAAAGCCCCAGAAGCCTGTCTGGGGTGGGGTGGGGTGGGAGGTAAGGACATGAGAACTACACCCAGGTTTGGAATAATGACTCAGCCCTCATTCCCTAGCTAAGGCTTGTGGAGCAAGGTAGGCATCTAAACCTCTGAGTCCCAGTTTCCTCATCTGCTAATCGGAGAAAATAACAGCAGCTGATGAAAGCCATTAAAGCTGCATATGTGTTCCAAAGCACCAGGTAGTGATAAGAACGCACTGCACAGGTAGAAGTCCCTTCACACAGGCCTGGCGTGCAGCAGGCTCTTACAGATGGTTGCACTCATGATTGCTGTTCCTGCATTGTGGTTATGATGGATACAGGAGTTCCATAAGGGGAGAGCCCACTGACTAACTTGGCATGGCCTGAGGAGGAGATGGGGCTCAGAGGACGGGTTAGAGAAGAGAGCGCAGACTAACCAGCCAGAGGGAGCAAAATGTCCTGATTGTTAAGAAGAGCGGAATACAGCTTTTGGCATGTGAGCTTAATGTCACTCAACGGCATTCTAGAATTATTAAACAGATGGTCTGGGAGCATGCTACAAAGAGCTATGCTTGTTCCAGAATTAATTTATTAAATCATGTTGTACAGACCTCCCAGGAACTTTCATTACTAAATTCACTCAACAGATTTATTATCAGCCTGATAGGAAAAGCAGAGCCTATCTTGGCAAAGTACTGAATGAAGTTTCCCATGCTGTCTGAGTGGGCAGGAGAGACAGATGTGAGCCCTGGTGTTTCTTAGGGAGGGTCTGTAGCAGTGTGTTTCAGGGCTCTGTCCAGTTGCTGAGGAGCTGGAGGAAGCACAGAGTAGGGTGAGATGGCACAGTAGAGTTCTGTGGACCTTATCCATAGAGAGGCCCTGAAAACCCTCAGAGGCTATCTGGCTAGTACTAACCAATATACCATGCTTTTCCTATTATTATATGTCTGTGGTGACTTTTTTTTCTTTTTTTGGTGTGGAGGATTGAACCTAGGACATTACACATGCTAAGCACATATTGTGCCACTGAGCACACACCCTCAACCACATAATAAAGTTTAATTTATAAATTGGACACAGTTAATAGCAATGACTAATTGCAAAATAGGTCAGTCTTAATAATGTGCTGTAATGAAAATTATTTAAAATATGAATTATTTATTTTTGGAAATTTCCATTTAATATTTTCTGACCAAAGTTGACTTGTAGGTACCTGAAAACACAGATAAAGAATGACCACCATGCATTGTTTGCACTTAAGAATTTAGCTATTTAAGAGCTAAATAATGGAAAGACAACAGACAAGTAATGTTACATATGAAATTTGGAAAATACGGATGATCATAAAGAGTAACTAAAAGGCACTTGCGATTCTACCTAAGTGGCACAGTTTAATAGCATGACCAAGAGGAATGACAGTGAGTGTGGATCTTGGTGATGTGTGAGATGCTGGGGGGTTTAGGACAGCGAAACCTAGAAAGGAGTCCTGCTGCCAGTGTTTGGGAGCGGCAGCTGTCGGGGAGAATCTGCAGGCTATCCTGTCCTGCTCAGGCAGCCAGACCTAGAACATGGAGGCTCAGAGGGCCAATTTCAGCTCAGGAAAACAGAAAAAGCTACATGGAAGCCATTCTGTCTGCCAATAGGAGGGGCTGCCTGGGAGAGAAGGAAAGAGGGAGGGAGACAAGCAGGGAGGGAGGGAAGGAGGTCCACCCCTGTGGGCAGAGCATTCTGAGTGTTATCAAAAGAGTCCCTGGCCCGCTTTGTCCTCTTTCATCTCTGAGGTCTGTGTATCTCCAGATGGAGACACGAAGACAGAACACAGCATTCAGTATTGTAATAGGGAGGCTTGTGGGATTCTTAACACAGTGACTTTGGTTCATTCATTCATTCGTTTAACATTTGTGAAGCACCAGCCATATGCTGGATACTGTGCCATATACCCAATGCATGCAGCTCTTGTGGGAACTGAGTGCGGGATACACTAGACGGTGAAGTTAGATAGGTAAGTTAATGGGCACTGAAAATCCAGGTAAGAGATTCTGAGCCTCAGGAATGAGTGATGAGAATGGAAACTTCGGTGATATTTAAAGAAGTTCTTTGCTTGCTTCAGGGTCTTTGTATAAGGTTTCTCAAAGACCAAAGACCTTAGATGGGACCAGGCATACCACAGGCACTCAGCAGACATCAGACAGGCAATGGGAATGTTACTGTGGGTACAAGATGGGCTTAAGCTGAACCTGGGATGATGAATAACTATTTACTTAACCAACATATTGTTGCAATAACCACTTCCCCAGTATTAGCCATGCAGTAGCCTTATTGCCTAATGCTGAAACAATAAATAAGACATAGATATCACTGTAATGCAGTAGAGAGTGGAACAGTCTGATAGAGGAGAGAGACACAGCAAGAAGTCCTGGAAGCACTCATGACAGACTGGTACAATGAGATCTAAGGTGAACCCAGATAAAGTTGTAATTAGTCCAGCCTGTGGGCTCAGGGAAGGCATCAGAGAAGAGGTGACATCTGAGTTGTCATTTCAAGCCACAACCCAGTTTGCCAAAAGACAGTGCTGGCCCGGGGCAGTCTACCCACCACACACACATATTGGTGGTAACAGCAGCACCCCCCGGCCAGAGTTCCCCGCACTCCCGGAACACTGTCATTTCTGATCTTTGTTTCACTGCTCTGCCACTTTACCTGCCACTTTCCCTGGGCTCTTTCTGCACAGAGCTCTAACCCTGGTGAGGAGTGAGGTGCACACTACATACCCAGACGTGGTAAGTATTTGTCAAATGAATGAATGGCAGCAGCTTGGTGGAGACAGTGCCAGTGAGAAAGAAGACGGACACAGTAATCTCAGAGACACCGCAGGGGCTGGGGCAGGGGCAGGCCTGGAAGGCAGAGCATTTTCCTCCCGATAGGCAACCTCAGGGCTGCTGAAGTGGGGGCTTCTATGCTACTTTGTGTCACTGACACCTGCAGAACAGCCACAGTACATGGCCCACACTGTGCCCGGCACCTCTCTAGCCACGTGACCAGCAGTGGGGCATGTTTGGGGGCATTTTCCTCCCTTCTCTCCTCCCCTTCCCTTCTTCCCTTTCATTTTCTTTTTTGAAACAATGTTTTGCTAAGTTTTTCAGGCTGGCATCAAACTTGTGATCCCCCTGCCTCAACCTCGCAAGGATTGTAGCTGGGTGTATAGGTATGTGACACTATGCCCGGCTTATCAGGTTTTTTGGTGTATAGATTTGTGAATGATTTGAACAAGAAAACTTGAATTGCCCTGAAATCTGATACCTCATATACAAAAGAAACTGATAGAGGACTCCCAAGTTTAGCAACAATCCTTAAATAAACATTTATTTACATGGCAATAGAAGTCAAAATTCATGAATGTGAACATTTTCTAAACTCACCAAAATAAAAACCAAGATTGAATCAACCATGTCAGAAGACAGAGGAAATGTATTTCTATCTGATTTATGGAAAAAAATTATAAAATTGTGACAGAGGAGGTAATCAAAGCCTATGCAGCTAAAAAAGATGGAGAAAAAAATATAGAGGTGGATTGGGCTGTTAGTCAAAATGTTATTTTTTTTTTTTATTTAGTGACAGTTGTGATACTTCTCGGTTTTTTTAACACTTGTAACTTGCTATCCTTATTCTAAATAAAGTTTCATGTTTGTACTACTTTTGTATTTGATATTTTGTATTATTTTTCTTACAGACTCACACACACACACACACACACACACACACACACCACACCACACCACACACACAGAGTGTGAGCTTCAGCCCCCTTCATGTCCAGAGGTCAGTGACTGGCCACTGTCTCTGGGCCTCCATGCCTTTCCTCTTAGTCACAGCTGGAGCCCTGGCCTTGCATCAGCCCCTCGTCCAGGGGAATTAGAGATGTGTCTGTTAGTCACACCATCATTCCTCACGGCTGCACAGACGAAGCACCAGGGCAGCCAGCCATGACTTCATTTGATCCTCACTGCAGACTGTTAAAAATCTGCACTTTTTTTTTTGCAGGCTGGGCTTGATGAGGTCCTTGGTGTTGGGCGGGGCAATGGAGGGGCCAGAAGTTAAATCCCTGTGGTCCAGGTCCTCTGCAATGCTCCCCCTACTCTTCATGGCAATTAGCGTGTTTGAGTGCGTGGTCAGATCTACACCCTTCCAGCTGGTGTGGAAATGGGCCCACCCCTGATCTTCCCGGCCGGGAGTGGAAACCAGCAGCAGTCTGAGTGCTGCTCCCAGCTGAGCCAACAGGCTCCTTCTTTCTGAGTATGAAGAGGGACTTAGACAGTTTCTACTTGGGCCTGCTGTGACAGCAGAACTTGGGGTGGGTGGGGGAGGCATCAAAGTCATTTGGGGAGTTCTTGCCATATATGAACTGTGTATCTCACCTCAACCTGTTCTAACATGCAAGCAGGGCCGTGCAGTAGAAAGGTGCATTTTGAAGTTTCCCAGACAAATCTGATATTCACTCTCTGTCTGGATGAGAACTATGCCTGAGGGGCTCATGGGAGTAACAGAAAGCCCGTGGGGACCCAGACCTGCTCAGAGATGAATGGACCCATCTGCCCGAGAGGAGCACAGAGATGGGCTGGGGGCCAGAATGCCCAAGGTGAGTCCCTGGCCCACTGCCTCCAAAGCTGTTTGACCCTGGACAAGGCACTCAATGTTGCTCATCTACAAGATGATATAACCGAAGCCCTTCCCTCACATGAGACACTGCACTGACACAGAACCTGACCCATACCACTCAGTGATGTCAGCCACAGCTGCTCTTACATCATGCAAGCGGGAATAGGAGGAAATATTCCCCGCTGAGGTGCAAGCCAGTGGCTGCTCTCCCTCCTTCACTGTAAGAGGTGAAGTCAGTGGCCAGGGAGTCTGCCTCTGAAATCCACCCCAGCCAGATCTCCTTTCACTGTGGAGCTGGGGACCACCCTCCTTTGTCTGGAGCTGGGGAGACCGGTTTGGGGAACTAGAGAGTCTCCGGTATCACACCGTGTACTGTCTCTTCTGTGGCTGTCTCCATGCAGACAGGCTTTCCCTTTCAGCATGAACAGGTGGGAAGCTTGGAACCAGAGAAGACAGCCCAGGAGGGGTCGAGGGGCTGGCGCCGGCATAGGAAGATGGTTTTCACAGGCTCCCCAGACCCAACCCACATCCCGGTTTCACTTCCGTGACCGCTCAGATCCCCAAGTTGCTTCAATAGTCCCATTACCAAAGTTCCCTCTGTTCGAGGGCAAAGGGGCTTCATAACCTCATTTCCACCAGCGTGTTGAGACTGAATATATTTGTGTTAGCCAGAGCAATGCCAAATAGTAGGGTTCTGTCAGCAGCAGGGTTTCCTCAAGGGCGCAGGCTGGAGAATCAGGGCCCTGGTGACCTGTGCCACACACGTTGAGGCACAGGGAAGCCAAGGAGAGAGGACTTGTGGGGCTTCCTTGGCTCCTCCATCTCTGTTCCCATCTCTGCCCACTATGCCCCTCCCTGGGGCCAGTCAGTGTGATCAGCATGTGAACTCAGAACTCTCTTCCAGCTCCTGCTGGCCCTTGGCAGGCCAGCAGTGGATGCCATGGAACTACCTTCATGACCACCATCCTCCTTAGCTCCTGGGCTGCAGTCCTGCTGCATTTTTTGGTACATGTTTGCAGTACATAATGATTACACTCATCACAGGGAGTCAGTGCACAGATATAACGTACTTTAATTATTTTTTCACCTCCCCCTATCACTGCCTGTAATCCTGACCTCTGGGAGGCTGAGGCACTTCTGGATGCTTTCAGTGGACCCAGTGCCAGATGCTCCTTTCTCTGAACCCAAAGCCTGCAACTCTTCTCTGAAGGTTTCCTATCCCCTTAGCCTGGGAGCTTGGGAGGGGAAACAAAAGAAGTTCAAACTTCAATATACCTGACTCCTGGACTAATGGAGGTGCTTTAGAATCTCAGAAAAATTCTGCTGAGCTGATGAGATGAGCTGCTACCCATAATACCCCTTTGGCCCTACTTGCACTTGCCCTTGTCCCCTAAAATGCCCACTGGACCTCTTCTGACCTATCTTGCCCGCTCTCCTAAATAAAAGCCAAAGCCTCTGAAACTGATCCAGCCAGGCTGCAGGGTCAGTCCCTGACTGGACACATGGGAGCCACAGTGTCCATTCTGTGAAGATGGCCAAGGAGCATGGCCCTGCTGGGTGTGCAGGGGAGCCAGGGTTTTTGGGCTGCTCTCTGCCTCTTCAGACAGCTCAACCCAGTGTGTCCTCACGCGTCCTGTGTCCTGGACGCCAGCTTCCTTGTTCTATCCTCGGATCCTTCTGATGCCAAAGCCGGTGTTCCTTCCTCTCCACACAGCAGTCAGAAGTAACAGATTTGATGTACGCACAACCAAATGGAGGAGCTTAAAACAGAGTCAGAGAAAAAAATCAGAAGGAGATCCGTAACACAACCCATTTACATTAATTAAAATTATTCATGCCCCAAACAAGAATGTGTGCATGTAAGAAATACAAAACTGGTTAGGAAGGTGGCAATAGAGGGGGAGAAGAGGAACAGAGAGTGGATTCAAACATAAAGAAGAGAGCCAAGCATGGTGGCAGACCCCTGTAATCCTAATCTCTGGGAGGCTGAGGCAGGAGCATTGTAAATTCAAGTTACAACTGGGCAACTTGGTGACTTAGCAAGACCTTTCTCAAAATAAAACGTAAAGAAGGACTTGGTATGCAGTAGCTTGGTGGGCCCTGGGTTCAATTTCTAGTCCCGGAAAAAAAAAAGAGTGGAAAAAGAAAGAAAGGAGGAAGGAAAGAAAGGGTGCATTAAGAACCCAGTCTCACACTGTGTGACTGACCTTAGGCCACAGGATTCCGGAGTCGATGCCATTCTAATGTCTGACAGTGAGGTTCAGGCGCCGCCCTGACTTACTGTATCCCAAATTTACCTGTCCTTCCGAAGAGTCCTGGCTCAGGCCTAGGATCCACAGTAGCCAGCACAGTTCCCAGGACGGAAGAGGCTCATAGCACATAGTGACAATACAACAAGATGTCCCTGATATATAAGACATCCAGAACCTGAAGAAGATTTCAAATCCAACCGAAACTGCAAAATACATGAACCATTTACACACACACACAAATGATGTAAAAAAAAAAAAAGGACTAAACAAAGGAGACAAAAGAAAAGATCTATCTATATGTTCCCATATCAAGAGAGATGCTAAATTTAAAAATACTCTGAGGTACCAGCTCTCATCAGATTTGCAAATTTGCTTGACAATTGCCGGTGCAGGCAAGGCTGTGGTGAACCTTCTCCCGCAGGCACAGCTGGTGGGAATGCTCCATGCAGGGCCTTCATTGACACCTGAGAACACTCCCTAGACATTTACCCTTCCAACCTGCAACCCATTCTGGGAACTTACCCAGAAGGTACACTTCGACAATATGCAAAAATATAAGCACATATGGTTGATAGCAGCATTTTTTATTGAGAGGGGAGGAAGTCCCAGAGAGTGAACCCAGGGCCTTCACACTCAGCTACTTCCCAGCTCTTTTAAACTTATTTAAAATTTTGTGATGGGCTTCACAGAGTCACTAAATTTCCCAGACTGGTCTCGATCTGCCTCAGGCACCCAGACTTGCTGGGATTATAGGCAGACACCACCACACCTGGCTATGGCAGCATTGCTTATACTTGTGAAATACAGGAGCTACCTAAAAGTGAAAGCCTAAGAAATGGGTGGAAGAACCCGCCCACATGATGGGATGCAGGCAGCTGTAGAAGCAAGTGAGGATGCTCTCATTCAACAGATAGGGAGTGACTTTTAGGAAATGTTATTAAGTGAAAAATCAAAATACAAAGAATATATAGTATATTGTGTTTTATGTAAGAAATAAGTGAAATAAGAAACACTCATGTTTTTGTTCCCCCCGCCCCAAAAAAGGAAGCATAAGAAGCCCAGACTAGAAACTATTGAACTTTGTCATCTGTAAAGAGTGGGGTTCGACAGAAAAAGCCAGAGAAGGGCTGGGGGTTTAGCTCAGCTGCGTGGCAAAGGTGAGGTCATGAGTTCAATGCCCGGTACCAGAAAACAAACAAAAAAACAAAAAAACAAAAAAAAACCTGGGGCTGGGAATTTAGCTCAGCAGCATAAACGCCTGCCTTGCAAGCGCGCAGTTGTGAGTTCGATCCCTGGTACTGATAAAAAAAAAAGAAAGAAAGTAAAAGCCAGAGGGAGGGCTTATGGCAGTGACCTGTCTCTGACAATTTGGGAATTACGTTAACAGACTATTAAAATCAACACAGAAGGGGCCGGGATTTAGCTCAGCGGTACAAGCGCCTGCCTGCCAAGGGAAAGGTCATGAGTTCAATCCCTGGCATGGCACCAAAAAATAAAATGCAATAAAGTCAACAAGGATGTGGGGAATCCTAAAACTGAGTGTATATGGAAATGAATAAATCAAACTATGTTTCAAGTGAATATAGTAACCAAAATGAAAGAAAAAAAGTAACCCAAATAGTTTTTGAACACAGTAACTTTGAGCATAAGTCCTCAGACTTCAGATGGAATCAGATTTCTTCTTAGTTAGCTTTCTTTTTGTAGTCGCATAAAGGGCATTACTGGGACAACTGACAAACTTGAAATATGGCTTAGATCAGTAAAAAAGAATTGCATCAATGTGAC